GTTTGACTGAGTTCCCAGTTGGAAATGTTTACCTTTGTGACTTCTTCCCCAAAGGCGTTGTGCACAATCTGTGACTGCACAGGTCCTGGGCAGACGTTAGAAACTACTATGTCTGGATATTCCACAAGTTCAGTTCGGAGACAATTGAAAAACCCCTAACAGGGCACAAAACACAAAAGTCAGAAAGAAAAGCGAAGAAATGAGGCAAATTTGGTTTGTCTTCTTTTTTCAATTCTTCATCCTTTTTCTCTTCTTAATTTCTTACATATTTCATCTTCTAATTTTGCATGCACATATCTGGTAATATGAACAACTAATTTGAAGACAACACTATGTATTGCAACAAATATTGTGAAATTCGTATTATTTTGCTTAGTGAGATTTTGTATCATTTGTAATTTTTGTTTTCATACTATTTTGTACTGTTTTTCAAAAAATTAAAAAATTGGGGCAGGCGAGCTAGCTCAGCAAATTACGTGCCTGATTAGGCAAGTGCAGGGACCAGGGTTTGATCCCCAGTACCGCATGCTGCGCCGGCTCCAACCCCAGGCATGCTGAGCCAGCCACCAGGACCAGAAGTGGTACAGCACACCTGTAATCTCAGCACTGGGGAGGCTGAAAACAGGAAGATCTCTGCAAGGCCAACCTGATATATATCTCATGACTCATCAAAATAAACTCTCAAAGGCCTGAGGCAGGCACAGATGGTGAAACCACGCAAGCTTCTTAAGCCTTTTAACTGGAAGGCCAGAGGCAATCGGAATACACATTCATGGCTCTTGTGTCTGCATGCCCATGGCAGCCCTCTCCCAAGACAATGCCTTGTTAGTTTAGCATTGGGAAGCACTGAGCAGGAGGGTTCCAACACATCCTCCTCCTACCAGTGCTCATGAATGTATTCCACAGGGTTGCTGGGGAAAGTCTCTGTTTATCCCAAAGCAATCTAAAGCATTAATGTGTGGGGCAAAGAGAAGGAAAAAACAACAACAACAACAACAACAACCAATAAAACAGGACTAGAATTTCACAAGTTCGATCCCAGGGGAAGCTTTCAACACATAAAATCTGTTTCACTACTGTTACAGGATGTGAATTTCTTTTAGGAAACAATTATTCTTTAGGGGGTGATAACTAGAATGTAGCTCACTAAAATGGAATATGATTGTTGACTATGGACATCTGTTAAAAACAAGCTAGTCCATCTAGACTTAGGGACTAATTATTTCTAAAACAACAAAATAAACAAAACTTTACTTTCCCTTGTTCTTAAATTAGGAAAGTTGCAAGATTACATGTTATATGGTTAAGTTAACTACCAAAAAAGCCTAAACAGCTAATCCATGGGGCAATTAATATATGACCTGACTGACTTAAATAAGTACCAGCCCTGAAGGCTGACTCTAACACGGGAGTATGAGGTTCATATTATCAGAATCCGACACTATTCCTGATTCAAAAGTGCACTGAAAAAAAAAATGCCAAGTAAGAGGATGGAGAACTCTTGTACCCTTAACATTCTGCCCTTCTGTAGCAAGAGAGAGAGGGAGAGCACACCCTCTAAGTCATAATACATCAGATACTACAGTCACTCCTTGTTGAAACTCTTCTAGGAGAGTGTTTAAACTTCTCAGTGACAAGCAAGTGCACCGTGTGACTTGCTCAAAAGCTGAGAAGAAATGTGTTCTTCCAATAGAGCCTCTAGGTCTCAGTGTGAACTACACTGTAACTAACCAGGCTCTTGATCTGCTACAGTCCAGCAGATCAAGCCCAGGAATTAAACAGGGTGTCTGGGAGGGGAAGCCAGACAGTTCTTCTGTGCTTTCCTGAAAACATCCCGGATGTCCTCTGAGACACTGGTGCCAACAAAGAGGAGCGGCTGCCCATCCTCAGCTGCCTGCCTGAGCTTTCCCTGGGGAACCCACTGATGGCCCAGTCATTCCTCAGAATCAGAATCCTCAGCATGGCAGCTGCTACAGCACTCCATGCAACCCTCTGCTCTTCCCAACGCGAAGGGCATTTCCTAAAGGACAAAGTTTCACTTTCCATGAGCTAAGACGATGCAGCGATTGCATCTCATTATTTCCATAGTGAAATCTTTGATTCAAACTCACCTTCAACAACATCACATATAAAATTTGCATCTTCTTTAATCATTCTCTTGCAAGCTACTCTTAAACCAAGATTCAAAATTCACTTGATTCTAACATGTATGCCTCATAATCCAAATCAAGCTTTTTTTCTAGCCTCTCCCTTAGCTGGATTTTCTTCTTCTTCTTCTTCTTATTATTATTAGTTTTTGCGGAACCAGGGATTGAACTCAGGCCCTTGTGCTTGCCAGGGAAGCACTTAATCCACTGAGCCATCTCCCGGCAATTATTATTATTGTTATTATTATTTTTTTTTTATTTTCTTCTTTCAATGAGACTGGAGCTAAAAGTCAACATGCTTCCCAGGAAGGACATGAGGCAGAGGTAGTACCTAACAGCGACCTGCATGTATGATTAGACCAGGTAAAATAAACAGCAGGGATAAAGGGAAAAGAAGCAACAGAAATAGAGAGAAGAAATACTTCTGGAAGTTATGCAGAAGGAAGGAGTGGAGGACCTCCAGTTTACCAAAAAGCTACGGAAGGGCAGGAAGTGGAGTGTAGGGTCTCTTTTTTTTTTTTTGCAGAACCGGGGATTGAACTCAGGCCCTTGCGCTTGCCAGGCAAGCACGTATTCTACTGAGCTAACTCCCCAGCCCCAAGTGTAGGGTCTTATGTTGACTATAACTACACACTTATCTTTGCATCATCAACATCTAGTAATACGAAAACCTTGCCCTTGGACGGCCATCACTCCCGACACAAGTTTAGATCACTCATAAGGGTTAAGTTCAAACTGCCTTACCCGAAGAGCATGTTTGCTGGCACAGTATCCGCTGGAAAGAGGCACTGATACAACCCCTGCAAAGCTATTCACGGTCACAATCTTGCCTCGCTTCCTCTCAACCAGGTGAGGCAGAACACACTTGGTCAAGGACACTGTCCCTAAATAGTTTAGTTCTATTAACTCCTTGAAGACATCCATGTTGGTATCCATAAGCAAAGAACGTTGGGATCTTCCTCCATTGTTGACCAGAATATCAATCTAGTTAAATAAAATTGGAAAAAGGGTGTTTTAGGAACATCCTGTGTGGACTGATGAAATTCCTAAAGATTGTTTGTTATGTCATTAACATCAAAAATAAATGAAACAACAATTTGCTTTTAGAAGTTTGAAATTAAAAAAAAAAAAAAAAACCATCAGACTTCACCTATATAATTTATTTTATTTTTGCAGAACCAGGGATTGAACTCAGGCCCTTGAGCTTGCCAGGCAAGCAGTTATTCTCCTGAGCCATCTCCCCAGTCCTCACGTATATAATTTCTACATTAAATCATTCTTTATGGAAAGTGACAAATACCATAAAAATAAGGGCAGGAGGGAATTTTTGCCCTCTTTTGCTCTATATAAGGAAATTGGTAGAAACTCGTTAAATCTGAAAGTACTAATTATGTAAAGCTAAAGATTTGGAGATAAAGGGGCCCCATCCATAGGCCTGGGCCTGTCATGTGAAGCCCCATCTCTTGAAAGCTCTTTGGTTTGTTTTTTTTTTTTAATTATTTATTTATTTTTTTATTTATTACATTTATTTATTGTGTGTGTGTGTGTGGCCAGCTCAGCCCACCAGGGGGCGGGGCTGGCTGGCATGTGGTGCTGGGGGATCGAACCGCACTCCCTGTGCTTTGCCAAGCTTGTTCCAAGTAGGTGCTTTAGACCACTGAGCCATCTCTCCAGCCCCTGGTTTTTTTTTTAAATATTTATTTATTTATTTATTGTGTGTGGCCAGCTCAGCCCACCAGGGTGCGGGGGCTGGCTGGCATGTGGTGCTGGGGGATTGAACCATGGTCCCTGTGCTTTGCTTAGCTTAGCTTGTTCTAAGTAGGTGCTTTAGACCACTGAGCCATCTCACCAACCCCTCTTGAAATCTCTTTGAACGAGAACAGCACACATGGGAATCTACATTACTCCAAACCTGCCAAAGTACGTCATTTAATGTTCCACTGTTGTCAAACACTACTTACTCTACCGAACTCCTGGAGAACCGCTTTGGTGGCCACCTCGTGGGAACTTCTGTCGGTCAGGTCCAGGGGCAGAATGAGGACATCTTTTTCTTTTACCTTCCCATTCTCTATACAAAGACACTTAAAGGTTACCGTGAACATCGTGCCATGGATGAACCAACCTCCTGGCTGCTCCTGTTAAGTTTAGGGTCCCCACTCTCCATGGGGAGTTGGTGACAAAGTCGCTTTTGGGTGTCCCTATGATAATTTCAAGAAGAAGACTAGTGGTTTTGACAATGTCAACATAAAGCTGGTAGCTTTACAGGAAGCATAACGAATGGGTCACTTCAACTTCAATATAGACAGTGGGACTTTAGGCTAACTAACAGAGGACATTTCTAACAGAAATCAGGACTATTAGACTACATGTAGCAAAAATTGTACTATAATTTCTTTTTTTTTTTTTTTTTTTTTTTTTTTTTTTTTTTTGGTGGAACCAGGGATTGAACTCAGGCCCTTGCACTTACCAGGCAATCGTTTATTCTACTGAGCTGTCTCCCCAGCCCCTGTACTACTGTTTCTGAAGAGGCCCGGTAATATTTGCTTTGCAATAGCGCCACAAAGTTAGCCGTTCTTTTATACTCATTGAAAACCTGTACATTACGGGCTGAGACACATTACGGGCTAGAGCATGTGCTTACCATGCAGGAAGCCCCAGGGTCAATCCTGCAGTACTAGGGATGGCCAGATAGCTCAGTGGACTAAAGCGCCTGCTTAGGCAGAGTGCAGTGGCTGGGGTTCAATCCCTGGCCTGCCGAGCTGGCCCTGCCCCCGAAGTGCACTGAGACAGCAACTGAGACTGGGTGTGGTGGCGTACACCTGTAATCCCAGCACTTGGGAGGCTGAAAACTGGAAAAACGCTACGAGTCCAATCTACATAGTGAGACCCTATAGAACCTGTACTAAATACATAAAATAAATCCTGTAGTCCTGCCAAAAGGAAAAGCAAACATTACAATTTATTCTTTAAGTACTAGGGAGCTCACAGCACTATAGTCAAAGAACATATACTCATAGAAGCTTCTCTACTTAGCCAGGACGTAAAGCAAGAAAAAGAACAGTCTGCTCCACAACTGGTACCTAGAAACAACATACTGGTCTATAATTCGCTCTTTCTACTTCTAGTCTTAAAAAAAAAAACGACTAAAACTAATGTCCTTGAACTACCACTGTGAAGCACAAACAATCCCAATAAGAAAAACAAGCACAAATAGTAAATATGAGACACAGATGCATTATGGGCAAAAGAGAAAATAATGCAACACCATTTTTAGTAGTAAAAGAATAGAAAGGCTGGCACCACTGATCTGAGACACAAGGAAGGCGGTCAGGCTTTCAGAGCTCAGAAAGGCTGACAAGTCTGTCTTCCCTGCCAAAGAGAGACCTGCAAGTGCAGCCCAGAGGACCGGTGCAGCCCAGCAACACAAGACACCTTTGTGGTCAACGTCAGGAAAGCATCGGGTCTCGCTGGGTTTAACTCGCAGTGTACTCTCTTTCCGGAGTGGTTAGTTCAATCAGCAAAGAAAAGAGAATATTTTAGGAGAATAACAATACTTAATACATTGCAATTGTTATCTTTTGTTATGAAATTTTGTTTTACTTTTTTTCCATAAAAATAAAGACTATTAAGAGCCACTGGGGGAAAAAAAAAGAGTAGAAAGAATGAAAGGTAGAGAAAGGTAAACAAACCCCATGATGTGCTAGAAACTTCCAGGCTATCTCAGTTTCGCTTTGTATGGTTTAGATAAGAATGTCCTCCAGAAGCCTCTGAGCTTAAGGGCGGGGATTTTGGAAGGGACTGAATGACGGGAATGCGAGAGCTCACTTGCCCCCAGGCTTGGGTCTGGTCAGAAGACCTGCTCACTGCAGGTGTGATCTAGAAGGGTTTCTCTCCCCTCCTGGCCCCTCACTCTGCTCACCGCTTCCTCGCCACCATAGCAATCTTCCTCCCCCCAGTGCCTCTCACCTTGTTGCTGGCCATGCAACAACTGAGCCACATAGAGGCCCTTCCCTCTTCTGGGGGCCAGGGTGGAATGCTATAGTTCAGACCCAGAATGCCCACCAGAGGCCTCATGTGAACACGCTCAGGGCTCCAGGAACATGGCTGTAACTGGTGGGATCACTGCTGAGGTGCAGTTAGGAGGTGGGGTCCCATCAGAGGAGCAGGGTCCCTGGAGGCTGCGATCTGGCAGGTGTCCCTCCCTTCCTCTTGCTTCACTCTCTACTGCTGGCCCCCATGACATAATCAGTTTTCCCTCCCCGGTCTTGTCATGTGCTGCTGACCAAGCAAGGACTCAGACTTGTAAAACTGTGAGAGAAGAGAAACTTCTCCTCTTAGCTGGGGATGTCAGATATTTTGTCCCAGAAACAAGGAAAGTGAGTTCAACAAATACTAAATGCCCTGTCAGAAAAAAGAACTTTTTAAAAAACCTGAGCTCAGTTTCTGTTTTGAGACAGGTTCTTGTTAAATTGCTAACTTGCCCAGGTTGGAATCAAACTTGTGATTTTGCAGCCTCAGCTCCCAGAGTAGCAGATTACAGGCATCTGTGACCATGTCCAGTTACACAGGCTGCCTTTCTTTCTTTTTCTTTCTTTCTTTCGTACAAGGTCTTGTTACACAGGTCAGACTTGTAGTGACCCATCAGACTTGTAGGGAATCCTTCTATCTCAGTACCGGGGATTGAACTCGACTCCTTGCGCTTGTGAGGCAAGCGCTTAAACCACTGAGCTATCTCCTCAGCCCCTCAGCTTGCACTTTTAAAACCACATTTCACTCCCTGTCCTTTATCCTACATAACAAAATTCTTACACCATCCCATTCAACGTTAATATAAGACATTTTAGCAAAACGAGAAAGCATCTTGCCTAACTCAATGGAAGCAGTTTCATACATGTGTCATGGATAACAAACAAGAGCTTCTTGAGGGCAAAAATATAAGCTATGTGGTCACTAAAACTCCAACAGCATCTCAGGCAATTGGTAATTAAGAGTCAACACAACACAGAGTAGAAAGATGGCAGGTGAAAAAGGATAAGGCAAAGGCAGCTACTCAAGGACAGAGAAGAGGCTCTAGGTCACAGCACCTATGGGCTTACAAAGGTGCGCTGGCTAGAAAATCCCCTTTAAGAGTCCCAAAGCTACACCTCAGCTCAGACGCAACTCCCACCTACGAAGCAGGGCTGCCGCTGTAGGGCTACTCACCCAGGCATCTTCTTTTCACTCTCTCCAGCTCGTTCTCTCTTCTGGCAGACAGCACGAGAGAAACTCCTAGCTTGCTCAGCTGGTAAGCCAGCTCCTCACCAATTCCACTTGAGGCCCCGGTCACCCACACCACCATGCCGGGCAGCTCCTCTTCTGTACAGGAAGAGGAGGGAAGGGGGGAGGCCAACAGTGATGATGGGTTACACCCATACATCCATCAAACATTTGCATACAAAACTTTAACCACCACCAGGGAGTGTGAAGTCTAGTGCGCAGAACATAAAATTTCAAATATCCCAGGAACAAAATCTTCTACTTAATTTTTTAAAGTATGAATACAAACCATGTTAGTAATAGTTATCTAAAAAAGTGTTCACATAGTTCAGAATGTTGGTAAAATTTCCTGATTTTACTACAAGGAAAGCCATATAATTGTAGGATCTCACAGAAGGCCAACATCTATCTATGTAATTGATAAAAGTAAAGCTAAGTGGATAGGAAAACCACTCCTTGGACTCAATTTCCTTGTGTACTTAATGGGAGATTCAACCTAGACTGTTGATAAGGGTCCCTTCCGGTGTTCAGTTCTGCGTTCAAATCTTCTGAAATAAGGTATTAATGAAAAATCCTAGAGCATCAACTTCTGCTCTGTGTTCTGATGTAATCAGCCTTGATTGTTAAAGTAATATTTTCCCCCTTTTCCAGTCATAGCTCATGTCCCTCAGCCAGCACCATTTGCAAAAGGGCTCCCCAAAGCCTCAGCTCTCAGATGAGTCTGTCACTTAAGATGAAACATTTACGACAGAGGGATGAAGACCTGAGCTCTGACTGCCCGGTTGTATTCCTGATGAAGAAGACTGAGAGTACTTAGGTGGCGAGAGGTAGCTTATTCAGACTTCAGGAGTTGACCGCCACTATCTATGTGACTTGAGAGTCACTATGGTGCCAAGTTCTTATGTGTCTTATGTATTAAAATATATACTACTGACCAAAAATAGCAAATAGGGTACCATTTAACATGAAAGGGTCTTAACACAGGACCCTTAACATAGGACCCCTGGGTACTGCCAGGGCCCAAATTCCAGCATGGAGTGCCTCCTGTGTCGCAACTCAGAGCTTTCATTCTCTAGGACTAGAAAAAACCATTAATTACAAACAAGACACTAGGGCTGGCGAGATGGCTCAGTGGTCTAAAGCACCTACTTACAACAAGCTAAGCAAAGCACAGGGACCACGGTTCAATCCCCCAGCACCACACGCCAGCCAGCCCCGCCCCCTGGTGGGCTGAGCTGGCCACACACACATACACACAAAATAAATTAACAAATAAAATAAAATAATTTAAAAAAAAAAACAAGACACTATATAAGATTAACTTAAAACATGGAATGCATTCAGAGCAATACCTAGCTCATACTCGATGCTTAACAAATTTTGATTATAATAGCACTAAAATTTTTTAACAGCTGGACCTTACAATAGCAAAACTTATTCAATGGCTTGTGTACTCTAACATTCCCCACCTGGGGCAATAGAGTGTTTACTGCTAATGGCTTAAGATTCTGTCATTACTTAACATGTTACCTTAATAAAGCTCTCATAAAAATCTCATGAAATATATATTACTGTGTCATTCTTTATAACAAAAGGAAAGTGATTTTTTTTTTTTTTTTTTTTTTTGTGGAACCAGGGATTGAACTCAGACTCTTGCACTTGCTAGGGAAGCGCTCATTCCACCGAGCCATCTCCCCGGCCCCAAGGAAAGTGAAATTTTCAGGGATCAATTTACCCTACACAATTGTAAATGTCATCAAGGATTGTGATTTGTGGACCTTCTAAAGGCTGCAGCCTCAGTGCCTCACTAAGAACAGACACAGAGCACTGCAGAAACTACTGCGCGTTCACACAGGCCCTGGCAGGGCTGCAGGACCAGCCAAGGTAAGTCTGAATCTAACGCACTCACTCCTCTACGTATGGTTCATGCATTTAAAGATGATCACATCATCTTCCAGATTCTGGGGTCAAAACCAGAGTCTTCACCACAGAGTTACAGCTCTAGCCCCAAATATAATCAATATTTTCTTTCTTCATTTTTTTTTTTTTAATAATCAATATTTTCTTAAACGTTAGAGAAAACATCACTTGTCCCTACCAGAAAGGTTTCATGCACATTTCTAAACTAAGGTCCACAAACATCCCTGATACTGTGGCTGGGCTAAATTGTGATCCTCGTGTGTAAAGTAATACACTTTTGTTGAAAGGTACAAGTGAACAAGAAAGACTTTTCAGGTTACTAGATGTATATCCAGATAACGGGTTATTGATCAAGTATTAATTATTCCAGAATTTCACAATACTGAGGTGAACATAGTTTGTTTGGGAGCTATTTTCTAACTAGCCTGGAGAAAACAGGGATTTAAATTATATACCTATAGGGCCAAGGAGATAGCTCAGCTGACTAAGTGCCTGCTTAGGCAAGCACAGGAACTGGGGTTCAATCCCTGGCACCACATGCCCTGCCAGCCCTGCTCCCAGGTGTGCTGAGCTGGCCACCGAGACCTAGTGTGGTGGCACACACCTGTAATCCCAGCACTGGGGAGGGTGAAAACAGGAAGATCACTACGAGTCCGAGCTGCATAGTGACACCCTGTAAAAAGATTATACAACTGTAATGAGTCAACTCAAGTTTTAGATTATAAATGTAAATCTTATGCTTTCTGTTGTAAATGTATACTCACCACTGTTCTAAGTTGTTTAGTAAATAGTGGCTGTTACTTGCTGTTTGCTACATAAAATTCCTACCTAACCAATCCCTGTAAACAAAGTCAGATTGCAGAGATGGCTTCATAAGGAAACTAAATGGGATTTAACTTCTTGTAACCTTGGGCTATGCAAGATTGCCTGCAGGTACTTACTCAGGTGCAAGATAACCAGAAACTAAAACAAAGCCCCAGGAAATTTAGTTTGGATAGTGGTCACAACGACCCTATAAGCACTGTTTTGTGTGAATAAATTTGTTTACCAAACAAATGTGGTTTCATGTTTTAAAAGCCCCCTGCTTCCTGGGCTAGCTGCCTTTCGGTCCTCTCCTGCGTGACAGCAGACCGGGGGCCCTGAGCTCAGTAATAAACGGCTTTCCAAATTCCAATCTGGCTGATCTGGTTCCTATTCTGAGTGACCCATAACAACAACAATCAGCAGCCAATGAGAAAAGTCCCCAGGTTCACGTCTCTATCTACGTGCAGTCATGGTTCTGATGCCCATCTTCCACCCTGGAGAAAAAAACTTTGATTCAACACCAACTTCTGTTCACCAATTCCATAGAATTTGGCACAAATTATGGCTTTCCAGAACATTTTTGAAGTTAGATTCGAAGAGCTAAAAAGAGGCTGCAGAGTTCAGAGACCAAGCTAGGCTGTGAGGGCAATAGGGACACATCTGTCACCTCACTGATCGCCAGGGCTGATGTGGCTGTTCCGGCCCGCCAGGCGAGTGCGTCCTTCCTCCCTCACGGCTCCACGCACGTGCGTCCCTCCCAAGGCCACCCGCGCTGCATAGGATAACCACCCACCATAGAGGACTGTTTCCCAGGCCAAGGGTACACACCCAGCTACATTCCCCTCCTAAAACCTTCAAAGAAGCGATCAAAGGCCAATGTCATCTAAGCATGTCTTCTTAAATCATGAAGTCATCTCCACTTCATTCCCCGCAGCACAAGACAGACAGTTATCGTTCCATTTTGGAAAGTCTGATCATTCTACAGTACTTCCTCTACCACAAGGTAAGCCTGCATCTTCTGCCAACCCGCAGCAGTCCTGCACCCCCTCTCGGAAAGACAGCCTGCATGTCCTCTGAAGTCTTTTCATCCCTTTTCTTTCTAAGGCTGACAGTCAGTTACTGCCTCCTCTCCACGTCTGACTCTCTGCCCACACCACCTGCCCTGGTTCCACTGCATCATGGCTCCTCCTGGAGAGAGCTGCCCAAGGCACACAGCAGGATTCCAGGGTCTGGACAGCCCCGAGCAGCAGGAGATAACTCAGTCCCTCCCTGGTGCCCCAGGGTCTACAAGAGGTCATCACCCTGGGGCAAGTCACAGCAGTGTCCAGGGCCCAGCACAGAACCATCATTTCTTGCCTTTGCTCAGACACCAGCAGTGTGCAGACGCAGCCCCCAGCAGCCAGGCGTCTCATAGCAGGCGACTTCTGCCCACTACATCTGTGTTTTCCTCGCCTGAGCTGCGTCTTTCTCCTTGCTGTGCATTTTTCTGAACTTAGGGCCAATAACTCAAATCAACTACTCTTAGATCACAGCATGGGAGATGCATGTTGGGAAATGCAGAGAGGGATTGAACTCAGGACCTTGCATTTGCCAGGGAAGCGCTTATTCTACTGAGCCATCTCCCTGGCCCCCCCTTCTGTTTTTTAATTATTTAGTGAGGAGAGTGTGATTTCTACTTCTCAAAATGACAAACATGCATTTACACAGACATCCAACCGGTAATTTCTTTCTTCTTGGTAGATTCTGCCTTAGCTATTTTAGGAATCTGAGCTAATTTTCCTATTCCTTTTTTTTTTATCCCCACCCCAACAGAAGTCATTTTAGAATTTTTTTCGCCTAAAACTTACCCCATAGAATTTTAATTTGATAAATATAGGGTACATCTGTGTTTGTGCTGTATGTATATTTATGGTTTTTTTGTTTTGTTTTGTTTTGTTTTTCTTGAGGAACTGGTGATTGAACTCAGGCCCTTGCACTTGCCAGGGAAACGCATATTCCACTGAGCTATCTCCCCGGTCCCTTATATTTATGTTTTATACATAAAATAAGTTTTATAAGCTTACTCCTTAAGTCAAAATAAGCTTAAGAATGATATTTTAACATTGTTAAATTATGTTTTAAAAAAGGGCCAGCCAAATAGCTCAGTGGACTAAAGTGCCTGCTTAGACAAAGCGCTGTTCCGGTCCAGTCCCCGGGACACACTGAGACAGCAAATGAGACTGGGCATGGTGGCACCCACCTGTAATCCCAGTGCTTGGGAGGCTGAAAACTGGAGAATCACTACGAGTCCAATCTACGTAGTGAGACCCTGTAGACCCTGTACTAAATACATAAAAAAAGTTATGTTAAAATGTAGGGGCTATTATTTTATAACAATTTGCTAAAATTAGCAATATTCGTGCGCCTGTAATCCCAGCTCTTGGGAGGCTGTAAATAGGTAGTCCAGTCTAGTAGTGAGACCCTGAACACCCTGTAGACCTTTTCCTAAAAAAAAAATTACTTAGATAAATGGTAATGTGTCACATTTATAAAATTTGCAAACTATGTTATGCAGACTATATTACATAGTAAACTATATTATTATGTTACATAGACTATGTTGCATTCTAAACTATGTTAGTACTGCAGACTAATAGAATGTAATTACATATAAAATCTATAAAAAATGTTTTCTTTAAAAGTATAGCAATTGGAGGCCCAGCCAGCTCAGCAGACTAAAGCACGTGCTTAGGCAGAGCTTAGAGGTCAGGGTTCAATCCCAGAGGTGCCTGGCCAGCCCTGCCTCCAGGGCGCACCGAGCCAGCAATTGAGACTGGGCATGGGTATGGTGGTATGCACGAGTCTGATCTACATAGTGAGACCCTGTACACTCTGTAGACCCTGTCCTAAATTCTAAAAAAAAAAAAAAAAAAAAAGCGTAACAATTGGAAAAATTAAATGAGTTTCTTAAAAAATACTTTTAGTGACCTTAACTTTTAACTTTTATTTCATACAAGAAATAAATATAGCTGTGTGTGGTTGTGCACACCTGTACTCCCTGCACTCAGGAGGCTGAAGCAGGAGAACTGTTGCAAGTTTGAGACTAGTTTGGGCTACGAAGTGAGCCAAACTGCATAGAAACACCCTGTCTCCAAAAAAGGACAATAAGAAAGAAAAAACTAACTGTGGGTTCACTATCTACTTGCTATATATTTAGTCAAATACTGTTATCACTTTATTTTTATTTTTCTATCATAATTTGATGAGTGCCTTTTTGGCACAATTACATAATAAAATATTTCATTCTATTCCTTTTTTTTTACATTTTATTTATTGTGTGTGTGTGTGTGTGTGTGTGTGTGTGTGGCCAGCTCAGCCCAGCAGGTGGCGGGGCTGGCTGGCATGCGGTGCTGGGGGATTGAACTGCGGTCCCTGTGCTTTGCTAAGCTTGTTCTAAGCAGGTGCTTTAGACCACTGGGCCATCTCACCAGCCCCCCATTTTATTCTTTGAATCCAAGTTAACATAAGCGCACTAAGGATGAAACACAAACATCCACAGGAAACAGGTACACACACTGCACTGGCTGAATTGTAGCCATCATTAAAGACCATGTCTAGTGTTAATGCAATTGCAGCGTCAGTGGGATTCCTGCTTCATACAGAGGGCCAGAGAGCGTAGCTCAATGGTAGAGCACCCACCGAGCATGCTCAGACTTGCACCCAAGTATCCAGCACTTTTGCAGGACTGGCCTTGCATGTGTGTTGTATATCTTCTGTGAACAGAGCACAGCGCTGCACGTTATATCCAAAGAAATTGAAACACAGAGAGAGAGAGAGAGAGAGAGAGAGAGAGAGAGAGAGAGAGAGAGAGAGAAAAGGTTCTGTCTGGTAGGACCCAGAGGTACAAAACACTGTACTAGTAGGTTTTTTTTCTGGTCCAGGGAGATGGCTCAGTGGAATAAGCACTTCCCTGGCAAGCGCAAGGGCCTGAGTTCGATCCCAGGTTCTGCTAATAAATAAATAAATAAATAAAAACATAACCTTCTGACTTATTTACTAACTGCATAACTTCCCACCAAATTTCATCACGAGCTTGGGTAATTTCATACTGGAAGCCGGCCCAGGGAGGCTCTGGGTACAGTCCCTCAGGACTCAAAGATACCTTTGCTAAGGTCATTTTATTTCTCTGAACACATCTTTCTGTCTGGAAACCAAGCCCGACATTGCCTTCTTTGTAAAACTGTTTCCAGGCTCAGAGGCCGTTTCTGAAGTACTGTGCATGCCCCTCCTAGCACAGAGCACTTGTTTAACAAACTGGCACACGCGTCACACATGAAGCAAGGCACAGACAAAAACCGAACAGCAGAATGCCCCTCAGTGTACCAGGAACGATCCTGGTGCAGACAAAAGTCAACTTAGTTCTCTCCACGTGGATCACTTTTATCCTAGGGAGCAGGCAGGCGGTCAACTCGGACTGCATCACATTTCAAAACCAGAGAGGGCAAGAAGTGGAGGAGAAACAACTTCAGGAGGCAGCATCACTGAGCCTCTTAGCTGGGGTTCCCTTACAAACTGGGCATGGTCACTGTCACCCCATCTTTCCTGCCTCTGCCGCTGCCCCTGCGTCCTAGGCCAGTCCTGTGAGCGCAGTGCTCCCTGCAGGCGGGCAGCCCCGGGGGAGACTCCGAGGCTGAAGCAAGTCCTGGCCCTCTTCCCACCAGGACAGGGGACAAAGTGGCACAGCTCCCCTCCCTGCAACCCCTGGGAAATGCCCAGCCTGGGGAGCCACAGGCTCGGGGCTAACTGGAGGGCCCCGACGGACAAGCGCTGGTCGGCAGAGAAGGAGGGCGCCCGGGAGCGGCCGTGCGCGTCCTCACCTGGGCGGCGGCCCCGCCATTCGGCCCACTTCAGGGTCAGGTCGCAGTCGGCCCGCAGGAAGAGCCCGAGGCCGAGCAGCAGTAGCAGCGCGCCAAGCGCGGGCAGCAGGAGCAGCAGCAGGCAGCCCATCGCGCAGCGCCAGGTCCCCAGCAAGCTGCTGCAAAACCGGCGGGGCCTCTAGGAAGTGCCCTAGCCAGACTAGGGCCCAACCCATCGGAGGCCCCGCCCACCACGCCCGGGGGCTCGGCCCCCCCGGCCCCGAGGCTCCGCCCACCTAGGAACAGTCTCTAGACTGTTCCTCCAGAGGCCCCGCCCCTCCATAGGCCCCACCCACCGAAGGGCCTGTTGCTCGAGGCCCCGCCCCGCTATGGGCCCCGCCCCTCCAGGGGCCCGGCCGGCGTCTGGCGTGCAGCTCCCACTTTTGGAACTGGCGGTAGCGTCAGAAGTGCGCCGAGGTCGCCAAGTGTAGCGCAATCACCCGGAATAAAGGCGAGGACCACGCAATAACTGGACGGTAGTTCTGTCGGTAGCTTTACATCTGTGGACAGTGTGAATTGTAAGAGGGTTCTGAGGCCTAGTACTTTTCCAGGCTCTGTGCCTGGGCGAGAAACAAGCTTCTAGGTCAGCCCTGCCCTCGCGGGCCTCTTCAGGCCGTTCCTGCAGCTCCCACCTCCCCGCCTGCAAAAGCTCTGACTCGGCGCCCTGCAGCTCCCACCTCCCCGCCTGCAAAAGCTCTGACTCGGCGCTCTGCACATCCGGGCTCTGTCACTGACTGATCTACCCTCGCCGCGCCTCGCTTTATATTTTGTTGATTTTTCTTTTTCTTTTTCTTCTTTTTTTGCTGGGTGAAGTACCACCGCCGCCACCAAATTAACCTTTTGCCAAACCTGTTTGGCTCTTGTCAACTGAAGTTTGAAAATCACATTTCAAACGCAAAAGCGCATCCTCAGAAGCTGTTTGAGGTGTACATAGGACCAAGACCAGGAGCCCTGAAGTTGTACCCAAATGTGGAATCCGGGACGGGGCCATCTGCCACCTGGATAAATGTTTCTGTTATCTGTACCTAGAAACAACGTAGGGAAGCGCAAATGAAAAAATGCTTTTTTTTTTTTTTTTTGTGGTACCAGGGATTGAACTCAGGACTTGTGCTTGCCAGGGAAGCACTTACCCCACTGAGCTGTCTCCCCAGCCCTTGAAAAAATGCTTTGAAGAGCAGTGTCCTTGTCCACATAGTTTTATATTCCTTTTTTCTCTTGTACATATTAGTATTTATTGGTTATCGCTATAAAGCTATCTCTCCATTGTAATTTGCATTTCTTAGACTCCAACCTGAAAAGGAGGCATTCTGCATTAACATTTATATTGTGCACAGAGTTCCCCTTGCCTGTGAAAGCTGTAAAACTTTTTGCTGTTGTTTTTCTGTCCTAGAGAAGGGTCTACAGGGTGTTCACTACGAGATCGGACTCATAGTGATCTGCCTGTTTGCAGCCTCCCCAAAGCTGGAATTACAGGTGGGTACCACCACACCCAGTCTCAGTTGCCATCTCAGCACGCCAGCACAGTAGTCCCAGGAATCAAACCCCTGCCCCTGCGCCTGCTTGCTGGCACTTTAATCCTCTGAGCTATTTGGCTGGCCCTTGTAAAACTGCCTAATAAATCAGAAAGACACTAGTGTGCTCAGGCTCAAGGTGACACACCAGTTTAGCTGGATTTGACTAGCTAAACATTAATCTTTTTTGATTGCTTATTCATGTTACACATGGATTAATATACCTCAAGATTTGCACAAGCTTTAAGTTTGTGAGCTGAATCCTGATATTCTGCAAGCTGACATGATCTTATCTAACTGTTCTGTTAATATGAAACTAATGTTGACTCGTGAATGGCTTAGAACAGCTCATATGTTTAAAAGCGTAGCCCTGTCTTGGATCCTTAGTCAGGATGTCTACTTGACTGCTTTAAGATGCCTTGCAGTCTGGTAGAGCACAGTTCTGGATGTGTTTATGGAGATGGTTGGCACGTAGGCCAGATGACTAAGGAAGAAGACACACCCTGGTTGTAGGTAGCACCAACGGGACTGTACCCCAGATGGAATTTCTATGACGAGGGAAAGAGGAGAGTGTGTGTGTAGAAGAAGGTGCAGTCTTAAGGGTGTGCCTCTCGCTGTCATCACCTTTGGACGTCAGTCTCTAGTTTCCTCAGCATGCCCGCACAGACTCCTACCAACTGTTCTCCAGTATGCTTCCAAGGCCTTTGACGTTGGACTAGTGTTGCATTCTTCCAAGGCCTTTGACGTTGGACTAGTGTTGCATTCTTCCAAGGCCTTTGACGTTGGACTACTGTTGCATTCTTCCAAGGCCTTTGACGTTGGACTACTGTTGCATTCTTCCAAGGCCTTTGACGTTGGACTAGTGTTGCATTCTCTATCTTGCTTGTTCTGTGGATTCTATCTTCCTGGGCTGGGTAGCTCTTAGATCCTCCCAGTCCGGAGAACCTAGAAAGTCATTGTAGCTCTTAGATCCTATAACCTACCTACTGAATGCCCTTTGCATAACTATACATATATTCTAACAATTCAGTTCCTGTAGAGAACCCTAACCAACAGAAAACCTGTGACACCCCTGAGAAGAACAGACACGACTGGGTCAGTGATAAATCCCTAGACTTTACAGAATGTTCTGAAATCCATCTGTTCTGTGATCTATCATGCATGATTCTTATTGATATTTGTGTAAAAAAAATTATTTCCTCTTTTTGGGTTCAAGTAATTTGAATTGAATTTTCATCATCTTCAGCAGCGACTTACATGATACTATTTTTACTTTTAGTTGTTTTTTTTTTTTTTCAGAACCATGAATTGAACTCAGACTCTTGCACTTGCCAGGGAAGCACTTATTCTACTGAGCCATCTCCCCAACCCCTTTATTTTATTTATTTATTTATTTATT